AAGATAAAAACCCCCCAAAAAAAAAAAAAAAAAAAAAAGCCAACATAATTGAAAATTGGGTTCTCCCTCTAAAGTCTTAAGTATTCTGAACTTGAAACAGTTAACTTAAAATAAGCAACAAAAACACCCCTGTAACAGTTTCTGCTGAAATATTGAAAAAAAAAAACCTAACTAAGCTTAATCTTTACAAAAGTTAATTAGCTCAAAAGCTATAAAATCTAAGTCATCTTAATTCTACAAAAGGGAGAGGGTCTTTGACTTTATGCCACCATTTCCTTAAAACCTCATCTTTTTGCCATCAATTTTGGGTACAAATCAAATTTCTGCATGCCCCTGTTTTCAGGAGGTTCCTCTTGCTGAAGAGACCAGGTATAAACATGGAGGAGTAACTGCCTAAGCAAATAGGAAGTGTTCCGAAATCGTGTGCAAAGATTGTAGAGTTCTGGGTTAATCTCTGAGCTTGATCTTGACCTTGATCTTGACTTTGAGCGAGATCTAGAATGAGACCTTAAAGTAGCTCTTTTTGGTGGAGGGGACACAGAACAAACCTTTGAGGGTGGAACAGGTAGGGAATTGGAACGAGATGACTCCTTGACCTGGATTTTGACTTTATATCTCACCTTTCCCATTTTTGTGGGGGATCGAGATGGAGACCTGCTTCGAGATTTCTCATATTTATCCTTAGATCTGCCTCAAGAACATGATGAGCTGGACCCTCAATCCGACTTGACCTTAGATTCGCTTTTTGATCTAGATTTCCTGCCTTTTTATTTTTATTTTTTTGGCCAAGTATAAAAAATATTTAATATTACTAATTACCAACAAAATATAAATCAAAGCTACAATGTGGTTTCACGTTACCCCAGTTAGAATGGCCATTTTCTTTTTCTTTTTTAAATTTCAATACGAATAGTTTTACTGGTTTTTTTTCTCCTGCCACTTTTTTTCATTCCCTGAGAATCATCACAACATACTAAATGTGGTTTCTCATCTAGAATAAACTACA